GTTTGTGTTTTCAGGCTCCCAAAACGCTATTGTCGTGTAAATGAAATGAATGGCCAAAAGCATAAAAGTTTTTCTCTTTTTAGTTGAAGGACTGTGTCGTGTAAACAGCCCCTAATATGTATTGAATGATCAATAAAAGAATCGTGCCCAAGCTGTTAATATGCCATCTGAGAATGAGACACCCATATTAAGTTACCCGTATCTCAAAGAAAGATAAACCATCTGCATATAGGTAATGAATACATCAAGATATGCATCACTGAATACAACAATAGCTGTCAGTCAAGGAATGTGATTGTTCCGTAAGCAACAGAACAATCCGGGGGAACGCAAGGACAGCTGTATGGTACGGAGGGGGGAAGCAGGCAGACGGTGCTGGATGAGGAAGTGAGAGGTAGAGTAGTGTTTAATTGGCTGGTGAATGGTGGGAGTGGCTAACCTAGTTTGATCTCCTCTGCCGTGCGGTCAATGAGGACGTAGAGCGACCAGACGACACATGTGATGGCGATGACGTGAAAAGTGACCGAGCACATGATCTTCCTCCTCTCGCTGGCGGTCATCTGAAGCTTCTCCCACTGCAGACAGAGATATTAAAAACACATTTAATCTTTGATTTGATTGTTGACAATATAATAGTCTATATTCTTCAGAGTTCCTGTATATATTCATGTGTTAGAGAGAGTGATCTCAGGACTCCATTTTAGCCATTCAGTGAATGTCTCTATGTCAAGCTAAGAGCCAGAATCCATTTCAAATTTCCACATTTACCAGAATAGAATTATATTAACAAAGAATAATCAATTCATTTGTGTTTATTTTAACTGTAATACACATGTAATCCAATAAAACGCCAAATATACTACACAGTTAGGGCTGCATGATAAAATCATACTTTAATAGTGATCTCAATTTCTGCTTTCTCTCAATTAAGCATAATTGTGTGCGATATTTGCCCACTGGTTATTTATCCTGTTTTCAATTTGATTTGACATTTGTGATATCTTGTATTTTTAACAGATACCAAGTGTTTAAATCCCCCAAACACATCTTTACTCTTAAGTGGATACATTTTCTGTCCAGTGCTTTATCTTCCCAACCTGGCAACCATGTGCACGCATTCTCTCTGCTGATAACCTGAAAACGTGTGTTGGAGTTTGGAGATCTCTGTGAAATTCTCTGTGAAATTCTAGTGATCACTTTAATATTTTGCCAAATTACACGGTTAAAAAGCCGCAGTTTAAAGTGGAAAAAATCTATGTAACAAAAAAAATCTATCAATCTATGCATCTATGTCAGAAGAAAGAAAGACATGAGGGTGAAAAAAAATATTCCTAATTAATGTTAATGTGGCTATTTTAGCAAAACATACAGCTGACAGATGCATCAACTCAAGCATATCACCATTCAATCTTTAGACAAACATTTTCAGCAGAATGGGAAGTACCAAACATCTCAGGAACTGTCAACGAAACGATTTACTGGTTTGAAAAAACCTGACAAACCCAGACCTGAACAGAGTCGACTGTGACCCTTCCTGACGCTCTTGCAACTGAAAGGGAGTAAACACCCGCAAACCAAACGTATTTCAAAATCTAGAGGAAAAACTGTCCAGAAACCTGGAAACTATTACAGAGGCAAAGGAAGGACAAACTCCCTTGTAACATCTATGATTTTGAAATGAAATGCTTTCCAGCACATATGGATGTGATGCTTTGCTGTGCACACACTTTTGGCCATGTTATAGTCAATGGCAAATGATTATATAAGCTTGCCAGTTTTTGTATGGTTACATAAGCATGTCAGTTTTTGTTTGCACAGCCATAAAACATTTAAAAATGATGTGTTATAAAACAGGAGACTCTATTAAAAGAGCAGACAGCATGTTTACAATGTTGACATAGCTTGGAATTTTTCAAACAGAGAATGGATGGAATGTTCAACATTTCTTATTTCGTCTATGTTAAAACTAAGCTATTTCAGCTTCATCACATCACATTGGGAGCCAATAATAGGTTCTGAAAAAAACAACAACACTGCACATGATGCACCAGACCCAGGTACAACTAAATGGGACATGAGCAATGATTTAACCAAGTACTGAGGAATAAGTTGGACCAAAAGTACTTTTTTTTAACAATCAACCATTGCCACAATTATCTGAATACTTGGGGGATGTTTCTCTCAGAGTGTGTCTATTGTTGTGAACGTGATCATTCACGTTTATTTCTAGTTGAGATTTCTTCTGGAAGGACGCTGACCTTGACATGCTGTGTTCATTTGTCAACAATAACACCTGCCAACATAATCACATTAATAATCTATTCAACAGAACAATGGCTCAAATGTCAATTGAAAGTCAGTGATAAATTCGACCAATAGAGTGTGCTGGTTAATGGTCAGCTGGGTTTGCATCTCAGTTCATCAAGAGAATCTTGAAAACACCTGGGAATCTCTCTTTCGTCTGCACAATCTCTATGGTGACATAAAAGCTGTCCTAGAGATGTCCTATTTTAAGCCCAATTTGAGTGACAGCATCAGAAATTTAATTAAAAGAGGAAGCGGTGGACACTGAACACTGGACTTTCATCAAGTTCATGCCACTCAAAAAGAATTAATTATAACAATTAATTATAAAAACCTCCTGCAGGCTTTATGGACCAACTTGTTTTTAATCATCTCAAAGGACAGGTTGTTTCTCGTCTACACTGATCAGCTATTGTATCTGCATACAAAATAACATGAAGCAGAGTACCATTAAAGTACATTAGTTAAACTCTTGTAGCTTGATTACCTTCCAGTACATGTAGTGTTTTAATTGGGTCAAATGTGGCAACCCAGTTCCCCTAAACCTAATAGGTTTTGTAACCTGTGGTCAAAATTAAAGTCACTCACAGCCTCTTGTGGCTCATTACTTCATTATACATGGCTTTGAGTGGTGTTACTGTTTTTATGCAACAATGTGATCAAAGATAACATTTTTAATACCCAGAATGAACAGTTCTTCCATAAAGCACCAAAATTAGGCTATTTATGGTTGAAGAGCAGCAACAGCATCATTCATAGAGTGACACAGTGATGGCAGTTTCCAAATTATTTTTGTTCCAATCATTTTCACCATAGGAATTCAAATGAATTCTTCAATATAGTCCATCCATCCATCAGAACAAAAAAATGAACAGTTATGAACTATTTTTAATAAACTAATGTTAACAAACATTAAAAGGTAACTCTCTAGCAGTTAAAAACAAAACTGCATGCATTGTGTTACCTGCACCTGTTACAAATGGAAATCTATGGTGTCATCTGTACATGTTTTATGCCATTGTTTTGACTAACTGGAAACACTGATATGGTCAAACGCTGCAATTTTTAGGTGTTCAAGCACGAAATTTTTAAATTTTGCATTTGGTTGGCTACAACAGGGTCATGTGGTCCCTGGCAAAATACAGCCAAAAGCCAATAAATCCCAAAGAAAAAGTCAAAAATTGATGAGCATATGTGTCCTAACATGGTTAACATCCTTTCGTGAGGATTGGATCATAGGTGGCGCTATAATCGTCAAAAAGGTCTCATTGTCATTAGGTGTTCAAGCACGAAAGTGTTTGCAGGTGTTTGCATTTGGCTGGCTACAACAGGTTCATTTAGGTTCATATTGGAATATGGTAAATCATGATAAATCATTCTATAACATGGTAAATAGTATTGGAACATGGTTATTCATGTAATATCACACTGAAATGTGGTATATCATGGTAAATCATGCTTACTACATAAAACTTAATGTCTTTTGATGCTTTTGTGCTTAAAGGCCTTAACTGCTTGAACACCGCTAAATGCTGCTTGCAGCTTTAATTTATAACTGATATTCTGCCTAAAGAGAGAGAGATTATTTTACTGTTCATAAAACATTCACTACTAGGAGATGTAACCAGTTAAATGAAAAATTGTTGAGTGATAAAAACACCATCATTTCAATTCCCCCAGTCTTCCATTCAAAAAGCCAAGCCAATGTTGATACTTTACCACAAGCTCTGTCACATTCTCTTTTTTTCTCTCCTCTGTTCATTTTTTTTTTTTTAAACAGGTGATTCAAAGCATCAAGCATCTATATATATATATATGTCTGTGACATTACCTTGCGGAGGGGCTTGAGCTTGGTCTCCATGATGAAGTCATACTTGCAGAGCTCGCAGCAGCGTGTGTCTGAGCTCTTGATCCACTGCTGCAGGCAGCCCTGATGGACAAACCTCAAACTCCCAGTGCAGTGACAGGGGGTTATCAGTGGACTCTCATCATCCCCCTCACAGTGACAAATCCTACAGTTTATTTACAGAGAGAGAGAGAGAGAGAGAGACACTCGGTCATACTCCTAAAACTACTGCAAAGCAACTCTGTTCTCAAAAAAAAAGAAGAAACACTTTTTAAAGTGACTGACTATGTAGTGGACACTAGGTCCAAAGCTGTTGCAGGATAAACAGAACACTAAAACAGAGGTCAGTGGCTGGGAATGAATGACTCTGTTTCGGTGTTTTATTTACCTTGTCAGTGACACACTGTACACATAAATCGAAAAAGGATTTGTGAAAAGTCACTCTCAACAAATACATCAACAGAACCTATAGAAGCGCACAACCGTTAAACTTTAAATCACATAAGAGGGGGGAAAAGGAAAAGCAAAGGCTGTTTGTTAGTGGAAGGAAGGATGGATTTGTGGAGACTGGAGAGTGTCCAGAGGGAGAGCAAGATCTAAGCCGAAGGCTAAATTTATTCTCCATGTAATCTCATTGCTGAGAAACAAATGAGACGTATTGAGATTGGATTAGTCTTTTTCTTCCCTATGGGCTGCTGTGCTTTTTCTTTCACTCATGGGCATTTATGCATATGAATTTAATTTCTGACTCAGCCAATGTTTAATAAGCTTAGAGGTCATCCGGGAAGCAACATGTAAACAATTGTCTGCCAAATGTCAAGATTCATATTTCAGGGATGTCAGCGCCATTGTTCCGCCGATGCAAGCGGCAGTTCAAAGGGAATCACTGATGAGTTCACATCTCACTGGTGCTCTTCACATGGCATCAGTTTAAAATAGAAATCAACTGATGTTTTAATGGCCAATTCCATATATAATACTAATATAAAGGGTAAAATTAATAATACAAATAATATTTGTTTTTTTGGAGAATACATGGATAGATAAAGAGACAGATGATCAATAAGTTAAAAAAATTAAATAAATAAGAGTAAATAAAATTAAATATTAATTTGACCAGAATTAACACTATGAATCAATTAAAAAAAAAAAAAATTAAAAAAATACTGATAGGAAAATTAAAAGAAAAGACTAATTTTACCTGCATTAACTATAATATTAATAATATTATATTATAAAAAAACAATACAATTTGAGAAAACATTGATAGATAAATGGACAGATGAAAAAAATATATATACAATATATATATATATATATATATATATATATATATATATATATATATATATGTGTGTACTTTTTTTTCCCCTTTTGCCTGAATTAACACCACTAAGACTTATTTATGATAGCTGCAACTGAGATGTAATGAGATTTTGAGAAGATTTACTCATATTTTGTAAATTGTTCAAATTGTTTCCAATTGCTGGTAGATTTGAAGCAAACACAAGGGGGAACTACATTTCTGTGTTAGCAGATCTCAAAGTACAAATGTCAGCGTCATGGGTTTGCTTCCCAGGACACGTGATCAAATGCACACTTTCAATTCTGTAAGTCACTTAAACGGTCTGCTAAATGTGCAAAATAAAGTCTACAGAGTTGGCTAATTTCATAAAACATTCCAAGCATTTCAAGCAGCGGTACTTTCCAAAGGAACAAGGAAAAACTATATATAGACAACCATAAATGTAATCTCTGATGTTTACACTTACTGACAGAGCAACATACAATAAATGACATTATGGGCACAGCAGCACACGGTTTAGCCACTGTAATGGATGTAATGATCACATCCTTCGCGATACTGGCCCTCTAAATGTTAACTAGCTGCCGCGGGCACAAATGAGAGGGAAGACTGCTTCCGTGTCAGCGTCCAGAGGAGGCTTTTCAGACTGAATGACCAGGATAATAACTATTTTCAGACATGCCTGATCCAGTCAAGACTCTACAAGATTAGTAAACAGCCCAGACAAGGAGAAAAACGAAGCCTGTCACATCTCCATCATCTTTTATGTGACTTTATAGCCCATCTGAGCACACTGTGTAATAACTTCCACAAGGGCTGAAGGCACATCGCTTTAATGCGCTCCTTTTGTTTATGATTGCTCGTATTTTTTTTCTTTTTGACTATAAAGGATAGATTAATTTCCCTCTCTCACTTCCTATTTTAATCAGATTGTATTAAAACCACCACGTAGAGCTAGATTAGATTAAATTAGAACAGAAAGAATCAATCCTATTACCACATTTAAGACATTCAATCTGGCCTTTTCACAAGGTTTGGCCCGTGAGTTCATTGACCTGAGGTTCTGGAATTGTGAAATTATTTCATTAGACAAACATTTCACTCTATAGCACTGTATTAAAGTAGAAACACTGGCAGATATGATCCTATATGATTATTTCTATATCCGTTTTAACCGTTTTTATGATATTTGATATGTATGGTACATGATATGTATTTGCAGTGACATGGCTGACATGTTTCATAAGTAATTATTTTTTTCACATTATCCATGTATTTTTCACTAAATTAACATGAAAAAATTGTATGAATTATTATCAATCCCTTTTCAACATACTGTATATTTTCACTAAATCATTTTAATAGATGAAAAATGTCACATGACTTCATTAAATGTATGCATGTATGTATGTATATATATATATAAACAAAGAGCAGATGTGAATAGAATTGCTATATTATTCCATGACTAGATCCCTCAGACAAAAAAAAATCAGATGCTGTTAAAATAAACAAATGCACGTGGGATAATCCTTCTACATAAAATGTGTCCTTGGATCACACCTCAAGACACCTGAGCATACTTTGTGGCAGATCTCCAAGCCTGGGTATGTCAGCTCTGGTTTAAACTAATAAGTCTTGCTGGCTGATCTCTAAATGTCAGCTATTTTAAGAGCACATGTGTTTTCACAGCACCGCGTGAGAGTGGTAATACATGTGGGAAGAAACCTCACCTCACCCTTAAGATGTACACAATTGGCATAACATAAGACGTCTAGTAAAGTGCATGCAAATAGCTTTAATTTACATAAGACCATCTTCTCAAAAACCTTGCAGGATGTAGCCACTTTCCAAACAACGATAGGCTGAATCCAAACATTCATACTTCCCTACTGTTAAATAGGTAAAAAATAGCATGTAATAACTCTGAATTCACAGAATTTATTAAACAGTCTGTGAAAAGTGCCAGGATGATGTACTACTTCAGACGAGATACGCATCTGATAAACACTTTACTATCCCATGAAGCCACAGTAGAGGAGTTGTGAATGGAATGTATTCAGTACCTACCAATTTTGGACACAGCCACATTATTTTTCTATATAAGCCACAGAGGAGTTCACTCTCAAATCTGAGATGTCAAAATGTATTTGTGAAAACCAAGTCACATTCATAAGTACTTGGACTTCTCATGTATTTTTTGTTTGAGTTAGTCTTCGGCAAAGCCATTTCCTTCACAAGTTGCGAGCTAATTGTTTCCTGAGGCATCCATGAGGCCCTGTAGATGAATACTGAGAAAAATCACAGTTATTTCACCTCAAATACCAAAACCAGAGAGCCGCAACCAAAACTGCATTCTCCATTCTACCTAAACTTCATCAATAATACCGTAAATATATAATAAATTCAAAATACCATAAGTATCGATTGCATCTCTCAGAGGAAATCTGCTTAGATTATCCAAGCCAGTGCTGTGATACAATATGTATCCCGCACAGCAGGCAAGACACTTCCTCTTCCACACCGAGGATCTTTAACACTCACAACTCCACCCATACACGAGCCTTATCATCGATTGCCATTAGCAAAACCATCACAGCACTCAAGCTCTAACAGGAAGGATAAACAGGGACTGGTAGGAAATAAATATCCAGATGAGGGCTGTAGAGGGACTACGAGGATGGATCACCCCAGAGGTGAAGCCCATGGGTAAGAGGAGCTGGGCGGGAGTGAGTAAGCCCCACCAACCTGCAGCAGTCCCCCGACAGGGAGTAGGGCGACAACGGCCCGTTTTTTTCCGACAACGGAGAGGACGATTGATCCAAGTCGCTGTCCTCCTCGAGAGCGCAAAGAGGAGCCTCAAACCCCTCCGTCTTGAGCTTCCACCGAGAAGAATTGTCCTCGAACACTTCGTCGTCTCCCATCTCCTCCATACAGCAAGACTCACCGGCGTCCAGCATGGCGCTGGATGACTTGGCGATGTGGAGCCTTGAAGCGTAGTTTTCCATCTCAGACGCCAGGAGACTTCCGGCGGTGAGAGAGTGGGTGAGCGGAAAGATGAGGCGCAGGAATTTGGAGCTTCTTTGAAGGTCTGAATGTGGAGGAGCAGGAGGAGCCAGGCAGTTCTCAGGCCTTGGGTTGGGGATGTATTTGTAGTTGTTGAGGAAGGATGGAGGCTGAGAAGCAAACAGAGGGGGAGAGTTGGCTTGACCATTGAGAGCTTTGATGTGGCCGTCTTCCTTGAGTTGTTCGTTCTCCACTCCCAGCTCCCCGTCCGAGCAAGTGCGGTCTATGAAGTGAAGGCCGCTGCATAGGCTGTCCATCTTTTGTCCCACGTCATTCAGAGACTTTGAGAACTTGAGACTGCCTCCTTCTGGTTTCAAGTTGACTGATGGCTTGAGTAGAGAGAGCCATTCTGTGCCAAACAAGGTCCTATTTTTGGGTTTGATGGGAGAGTCCAGGCAGAGCGTGGTCATGGTGACACACTGAGATGCTGAGCTTTTACCATTAGAGTTCAAAAGCACTACAGTGGCCTGTAAGGGCTTCTGTGAGCCCAGGTCCTGAGCGAGGTCATTAGAACTGCATTTGAGAGGAGAGGAGAGGGATGGGACAGAAAGAGAGGTGCAGAAACAGAGATGGGAAGAGAGAAAACGGACGTAAAGATACATGCAACATGCATTAGAGAACAAATGGAGAAAGATTACAAAAAGACAGGCGGGAGGAACCGGGAGGAAGGTTAGAAAACAAAATTGCAGAATCAAGATGGATGGCATGTTTGCCCACTGATGCTCTGACAGTTCAGGCTTTCCAGATCTTCTCTAATGATTAGACTGCAGGATTGAGGGAGGGCAAACCTACCTGCATATATCCTGGTTCGAGGGCGTCACTGAAGTCCTGGGGAAGCTGTAGGGAGCGTTCACAGAGGTTGGGCTTCCTGCCTGTATGCAAAACAGAGACCATAGAAGCAAATTAGAAACTTAAACTAAATCAACACTTCCTGATGAAAATCCAAAGTAAAGTTAGCTTTTTGTCTTTGGTTCGGCATAAATGAAATGCATCACAGTCACTTTGCCATTGTCACAACAAAGCATATCTTTTAAAATGATGCTAAAGTTTTTTCTTTGAAAGAAATTAATTTAATTCATAAAATTAAATTAAACATAATTTTAATTTAAATATTTAAAAAAAACAAAATAATTTAATTCATAAAATTAAATTAAATATAATTTTAACTTAAATTAATTAAAAAAAAATAATTCAAATTAATTTAATTCATAAAACTAATTAAAGATAAAATTCTATTTCAAATATTTTTCAAATACAAATCTTTTGTAGGCTACTTTCCATTTATAAAAGACTTGCATCATGGTTTCCACTAAATATTAAGGGTTTTCAACTGTGACAAGAAAAGTTTCTTCAGCACCAAATCAGCATATCAGAATAATTTCTGAAGGATCATGTGACACTGAAGACTGGAGTAATGATGCTGATAATGAAACATTTGAAAATATATTCAAATAGAAAACAGTTATTTTAAATTGTAATCATTTTTTTTTTACAATATTGCCGTTTTTACTGTATTTTTAATCAAATAAATGCAGCCTTGGTAAGTGTGAAAGAATTATTTAAAAAAAAAAAAACCTTTGGGTGATGTGCATGGTAAATATATGCAAGATAAGACCAATGAATCATGATTCAGATCGAAGAAAAATGACATCATTGATGTAAGTTAATTTTTAAGCATTGAACATTATCTACGTAAATGGAACATTTGAAAAAGAAAGTGGGGGAAAAAAAGTTTACATTAAAGATAAATAGCTTTAGAAAATTTCTCCCTTACACAGAAACAAACTAATATCACCTGGCTGTTGGAATCAAAGCAGTATGGATCGCATGCACGATGCTTGATTCCATCATTTATGTCACAGACTAATTACATATTGATTCTATCTGTAACGAATAGAAAATTTATAGCCCTGAGCCTGACAGGGGAGGGATCAATACAGGATAGAGTGTCCGGAAATGCCCTCTACACTAACACACAAGCTGACACACACACAGTCACACAAATACACATCTTTGAGGAATAATCTTCAAAAAAACTAGGAAATAATATTTGTGATCAGGCACAACAAATGTGGAAGTATGCCTGAGGAAACAGCGCTTTACATTTAAAACTTAACGATGATTTCATACGGTTCATATTCACAAACATACACACCCTTTCTGTAACTCAGGAACTGAAGATGAGAACATTTTCAAACATTAAAATGGTACTTTTCACAAATGAGGTACACAATAAAGCCTGGGTTGGGCAGTAATTGTCTTTGTATGATACATCAATATATTTAAATAAAGTACAGCTATCCAATAAATATTGTTTATATCAATATTCAGTAGTTTGATATTACGAGTGCACCTGAAAAATCACAGAGGACACAAAGTGAACTGCATAATTCAATTTGTCCTAAATATCCAGCATTACATTAAGGGCTTCACACGTAAGATATAGTTCACCAGTTAAGTTTAAAGCGGCTTGCTCTGACTGATGTGCTGTTTAATGCATTTTAAACTTATGCACGTTTTAAAGCCATATTTAAAATCTAAATTAAATATTACATAGACAATTCAAAAGATTTACAAATTAAAAATAAACAACAAAAAAAACAAATGTTTTGGAGCCACATTTTTACACACATGCACACACATAGCTGTTAGTTTTTGGTATTTAAAAAAATATTGTTATGTACAGTATACATATTTACTTAGTATCTAGTAATGAAAACGCATTGGAGGTGTTCTTAAGAATAGTGGAAAGTGGCAAATGTGTTTATGTCTATGTTGCACAGTCACGTTGCGACGACAGTGTGAATGTGATTAACTGAGTAAGTCCAGCTCCATGCAGACTTAAGATAAGCTTGACAGAGTGTGTGTTTGTGAAGAGAAGACTCCTTGTGAGATGTGCTATACACACATAGTCATGTGTGAGAAACCCCCCAAAAAAACACAAACCCTTGACAAAACCACATAGCGACTGCTGAAAATTGGAAAGAGATGAGGCACAGTCTTGCACCTGTCGACAGACACATGAGCAAAAATGCTAGATATGGAATTTGCCTCAAGCACATTTTAAAGTATAGATTCAATCTAACGGTGAGTACATTTGTGAACATTTAAAAAAAAAAAAAATACTTGTTTGTGGAGGCCAACAGCTTGTCACACTATGGGAGTTATTCAGAGATAGCGTAAAATAATTTATTCTCTATTGCGAACATCGAACTGACATTAGCTCAGACCTGCGGGAAGTGCTACTGAAACCAGAACAGAAATTTTATAAACGAGGTCCATCACTGCATGTGGTTTTAGTTAAGATGTTGCCCAGCTCACACTGACAGCAATTTTATCACTGGAAGCTGGCAGGTCGATGGCAGGCATTCCTGATGCTGGATGCCAAGATTTAAATATTTTGAATGTAATGTTTTGCCATGTCATTCTATTTTGACAAGTTTTTGTCTTCCTCAAAATATCAAGATGCAGGGAAAGTGTTTGTATATAAACTGCAGCAGAGCAAAATACATCAATTAACAGGATGAATGATTATCATCAATGCATGAATTAAGCATTGAGAAAACTGAATTTCTGATTTGGTTTTCCCTGCTTCAGTTAACAAACTGAACAGTGAAATCACAGTAACATTCATTTCTCAGTCTTACTGCATCCACGGGAGATGAATCACATAATCTCCACTGACTTCACTCCCATTGGTAGCCGACCGCCCCTTCAAGTTCTGCTGATTTGCATAAAATTGCACTCAACTTTGAGTTGAGTTTAGACATGCACACACAGTATCGCCAAAAGTCGCTGTCACTCATGTTAGAGCTCAACTTAATGGGCAGCATTTCAAGAAATCTCCAGCTTTTTTCTCACATATTTTTGAGACATTTGTTGTTTTTTTCTGGTTAGCACAGGAAAAACATCAGAAGTGCACAGATGCAGTTTAGAGAGAACATTATTGGTATAATGTGTTCTAGTCTTCAGATGCTGAGAGCAATTTTCATCGGTGTTCTACAGTAACTTCCAGCAGACTCATATTAGAGCGCCAATGTTAGTGTGATGGACTAGTTAGGATGCTCAAAACAAACAATGTCAAGCAATGATTTGATAGCACCAACCACGCACAACATTTATACTTTTCATAGGAATCATCCTACGATTGGCTTACTTTGAATTTGTAAAATACTTTGTGCACATTCAGCTGAAATAAGGAAAAACATACTACTATTCAAAGGTTTGGGGAATTTTTCATTGTAAAGTAATTAATAGTTTTATTTGGCAACAATGCATTAAATTGACCAAAAGTGACAGTTAAAACATTGTTATAAAATATTTTAATACTAAACTTTGCATTTATCAAAGAATACAAAAAAAAAAAAAATCATAGTTTCCACAAAAATAACAGCACAGCTGTTTTCAATATTGATAATAGTAAGAAATATTTCTTGAGCAGTAAAAAATAACATTAAAATGATTTCTGAAGGATCATGTGACACTTGTGAAAATTCAGCTTTCCCATAATAGGAATAAATTACATTTTATAATATATTCAAATAGAAAGCACGCATATATAGTAATAATATTTCACAATACTACTGTTTTTACTATTTAATCAAATAAACGAGCATAAGAGACTTCTCATAAAAACATTTACAAACTCTTACAGAGCCAAAACTTTAACACTAGTGTATTTTGAAATAAAAAGAATAAAAAAAAACTAAACACATGAATAGCATTTAAAGCTTCCTGAAAGGACCGTCACCTGAGACACCCAAACGTCAAAGCAAATCTGTGTGCCTTTAATTCTGTTATCAGAGAAAAGACAGGAGAAAGAATGGGATACATAACAAGAGCCCATGAATCAAAAATCCTCAGCAAGCCTTCATAAGACCTTCTGATCTCTTTCTCTCTCCACAAAGCCAGTGTAAAGTCAGTGTGTGCCATCCGCCTCTGGAGGGTTAAATAGCTCCCAGTGACGAGTGTTATTCTGGGAGTTGTCCTCTCTCCATGGCTCCATTCATCACACACACAGAGCACAGTGACCTAGCAACTTGGGCCAAGATTACACGCTCCAAAATCTTCCCTCAGCCGACAACAGAAGCACAAGTGTGCAAAGGGCCAGACAACTAAGGTTAATACACAAACTGAATAGTTTAATAACAAACAAAACCACAAAATGTCCTGCTAAATTATATCTGCCAAATGTGAAAATGTCAATGTACAAAATTGATTTCAGCCCATTTGCATGGTCTCCTGGGCTGGCCCTTAGCCGTAAGATATCACTAAATCCCTCACTAATATATTACATATACTGAGCACCTACTGTTTCCCATTATCCACCTATAGTATGTCTACAAGTCAGTATCAGTCTTTTGAAAGAGACATGATGTAAAACAGTGATTCTCAACCTATATGCCCCCCTTTGTTCACAATTTTGTGGTGATGGCGCAGTGGATAAGACACATGCCTTTGGTGTGAGAGACCCGGGTTTGAATCCACCAATGCGTCCCTGAGCGAGACACTTAACCCCTAGTTGCTCCAGAGGCGCGCGACCTCTGACATATAAAGCGATTGTAAGTCGCTTTGGATAAAAGCGTCAGCTAAATGAATAAATGTAAATGTATTCGAAAATCCAATTAGTTTTCCAGTTGTTCCAGATGATCTGGATAAAGGCCTCCTGAAAACTACTGGTATAAAATGTAGTGAATTAACTTGTGATTCAGAAGATTACATTATAAACTTGATAACTCTGTTCAGTAACTCTGGCAATAAAGGTCAGTTCAAGGACTGTTAATGTGAATGAGGAAATAAATGATTGCACATTGTAGGTTTTTCGTTGATAGCCTTATTGCATAAAAGAGAAAAAACCCAGTGTGACTCACGTTAGTGAGAATGTTTCATAATGAGGTGGATTTGAGTTTCTGGTGATCTTTTGGATTGAACCTAAAAAGCAATCGAATGGAAATTAGGAAGAAGTTGCGTACAGAAATCTGCACTAAATACAAATGCCTTTAAATAAGCAAGGTTTTGTTTCTAGACTGTTCAACCCAGACGGGAACAACTCTGCAGCTAATTGTTTGTATTATTGTACAATTTGAGGCGTATGTCTACAGAATGATTATGGAAATGAACGCAGACGCTGGCAGAAAAAAGGTCCGTCAGTCACATGTGACACTTGATGGATGTGAGGAGGTAGAGGGATTCACAACAGATGTTCAACCCTCCTTTAAAAATGTACTTAAACTCAGCATATTTTACCTCGACAGTCCTCCTGTCTGCTATATGTCAGAGACATATATGTTCCTGCCCCAAAACCACACCATTGTTTGAGCTAGTGTTGCTAGCTCAAAAAAAAAAGTTGCTGCCTGAAATTCAAAGTACAATGACCTTGGATGTTTGTTATTTCAACTTAAATTACATTAAAGTTGAATATTGTGTAACTTATTTAAAAAAATGAAAATTGCTTAACTTACAGTAGCAAATTTTAAAGCAAATATATGTATACGTTTTAAAGCATTTATAAACACATGTTTTTTACAGTGTCATTGGAACATTGGACATTAACATTGGAAAAAACATTATCATTTATTCATTGTAAAACACAAAAGATATCTTCACTGTAGTGCCTACATAACATGATTGAACCCCATTGACTGGCAAAAAATGCATTTAAAAAATATATCATCTTTGTCAGTCATATGGGATTGGAACAACATGAATAATAAAAAAGGTATTTCATATTTTGGATGAATTATCCCTTTAAGGCTGGGGAGATCACCCCAATCAGGAAGAATCTGGATAATAACAACACTGGCATGGATCAGTTGAGTGTGTTGTTTTGTTTGATAGCTTAATGTGCGGCTGAAATGACAGAGCTGACAGGAACACCCCATGGACCCCTATTAGGACCCTTTGGGTTTCTCTGCAGTCAAAACCTTGTCATGCAGCATGAGTGCGTGTCGGACACTGAAATGATAACAACTGTAATGGGACCTCTTATGTTATTAATCCTGTCGGAAACAAATGAGCTCTGGAATGATGAAACCTTTCTTTCCGCTAGGGATGAACGCAGATCATCCTGATGCTCCATGGTGCAAAACAGTCAATTGAAAATATGCTACAGTGAGGCTTTAAAAGTAAATGAACTCCTAAAAGCACAATTATGAGAACAAACATTTAGGGAGTTCACTGTACGGATGTATGTGCAAAATAAAGAGATATACTTGAAGCGAAATCAAAGAACTAACCGGTGGGACGTCATTTTGAACAAAATCAGGCCAAAACAAAGTTTGTTTTTTGGAAGTTTGAAACAGCTTGCCAAAGCTAAATTTCCGGAAAAGTTCGCTCACGCTGGTAAACCCCTTCAAACTACTCTTGATCCATGGCGATTAGAGATAGGCAACGATTAATCGCGATTAATCGCATCCAAAATAAAAGTTTGTGTTTACAAAATATATGTTTGTGTATAATTAATTTGTATATATAAATACCCACACATGCATGTATATATTTAAGAAATATGTGCATGTATATATTTTATATATATATATATTTATTCACAATTAATATTATATATAAATATAAATATTTGATATATTAATAACGCATTTTTCTTAAATATATACATGCATGTGTGGGTATTTATATATACAAAATAATTATACACACTACACACACATATATTATGTAAACACAAACTTTTATTTTGGATGCGATTAATCGTTGCCCATCCCTAATGGCGATTATGTAATAGGCAGATGTGGCTCTGAGGCTCTGTCTTCTTTGACGTGGAAATCTTCACCGGTTCATTTCTTCTGTTTAGTCTGGCTCAGTTCAATCCCAAGGGAACATGAATTGAACACACTGGACTGTGGATGAGCTGCTTTAAAGTATTAATTGAAGATTTACTTCTAATTAAAATACACACAGACACTATTTTTCATGTATAATAGTACAAAGATACTTACTTTAAAACAATATTTTGCATGCAGTGGTATAAAAATACTGTAAACATGACATGACATGACTGATGTGGCTGGCGCAAATCTGTCCACATCGCTAATTAACTAATGTTTTCTCACCACTGTCATTTGTGTTGTGCCTTTTTTGTTATTCCGAGGAAAAAGAATATCACATTTTCATCTAAACGCTGGTCCAAGCAGTGTGGGTGGCGTTGGCATGTTTGCTAACTGATATTCTGCTGAAAAGGTATTTCAAACATCGTTTTCCTCCTAAACGAAGAATGAACAAGAACTTTGCTGTGAGAATATCAGCGTTGTAAGTTTGTGAAATGTGAAAACAGTCCATAAGCGCTCAAGGCTTGAGCGTGAACCCAAAGTCCTCAGAAGCTGAATGTCTTGAGCTACACCAGTAGAGTGTTTTTCAGAACAGGTGACCCTGACATCTAGTAGTTCGTGTGAAGGGTTTATCTGTTAAGAGGCTCAAAGTTACGCAGAAGTGCAGTAAATCTCCACTAAGAGGAAGAGAACCACGTTAGAGTGAAAATGCCTGACGGATATGATTCCAACATGAACTCCTATGTTTAAATAGTCAAATCAATACCAATGTGGGGTAGGGTTTATTTGAATATGGTGAGAGCAAATCTGTTTGCGTTTTTAGTCGGAATCTAACTCCAAAGTTATTTTATGTTAAAAATAAAAAATAAATGCCAATAAGGAACACTGTTGCATAACTAGATAAAAAAAAAAACACAAATACATGAATGTTCGCAATATAAGATGGATTACACTCAATGTATTTTAAAATGTCTTAATGCAGATCATTATGCAATGCGAGAACATGCAACACAGGCAAATTTTAATAAATAATCTAAGAAAGAAGACCAAAAGTGGCATTGTTTTTTCATTAGAGTGGAAACACTATACACGAGTATAAGTGCAGGAACACTTCTAGCTACTGACGCTTTCTAAAATGTGACAATGCAAGTACGCGCTATATTCTCAACATGGGTGCAAAAGCCATTGTAGTGCATTACAGTAAACAGTCTTCCATTTCAGATCAACTACTGTCATATAATAGTGCAAACATTTGAGGAGAATCTTGCAGAGCAAGTGGGAGTTATGGCTTGTTAGGCATTTCTCAATACCATGTAGCCTACGCAAAGTCCGACTCCGGAGAATGACTCCTGAGAACGCGAGTCCAGTAATTCTGCTAATGGAACAGCGTGTTCTTGAGTCGCTCTGCTACTCTGGTTATCTCTGTATGTACATTTTAGGCTAAAATAAAACAAAATATGTTATAAATCACCACTCTGCTTCTTTTCGATTTCATTTAAATACATTTTAAACATTATAAGCACACAAATGTGGTTCAGCCAACGCATAGCCTATTGAGTATAGTATTCACTGCATGGTACGGTAGCCTAGACCATTTCAAAAGATGTAAACAACACTGGTCCAGAAGCACTTCCTGTTTCAGTTTTTTAACACTACATAAAAGCTGGGATAAAATACAATCAACATTTAAAACTGAATCAAAAAGTTAAACAAACATCTTTAAGATGTTTTCTTTACATGTGAAATAAAGAAAACAGTTACAAACTGAAACAGGAAGTGCTTCTGGACCAGTGTTTACATCTTGTGAAATGGTCTATATTTATGACAAAACTAGCATTCAGGTCTCATTTGCATAGTTGCATAGAAAGCCTACGACACATGGCATTCATTAAATATCAGACAGATAAACAGGTGAAAACGTGAATTCAAGATTGGATAATATCAGACAGATAAACAGGTGAAAATGTAAATTCAAGATTGGATAATAAAGTACAAAGCTTCCTTGACCTGAAAAAATAACCACAGCGAAAGAGACTACATAAGCATAAAATGAGCTCTTGAGATTTTGTTATTGTCTGCTGCACTTTTTTTCTTGCTTCTAGGTCAGACAAAATGTCCTTGCTATCTCCTTTGCATCAGGCAAATACATATATTTCTGTTTGAAATGCTTAGAAATTTTAAAAGAACAAAGTTTGAGGAAAATGAAAAACGTATTTGTAGATAGCAGGTGCAGACCCCCTAGAAAGCTAAGCCACTCGCTCAGTCTCAGTTGAAGAAGAGAAGGAAATGGATTTTCATACCTTTGAAATGTTGCTGGACCTGCTTGCAGAATGACCAAGCGTTTTCTCATTCTGTGGAAGAAAGAAAAAGTTTAAGAACAGTGCTTAGAATTTATTGCAGAAGAAACTATGAGAACAAGTACAACGTCTCCTGGAACTGACTGCTAAAAAGGTTTTTTTAATAACACTGCAAATTTAAGAATCTTTAAAAGGATTAAATACTCCATCACAGAAAGGAAATACATTTTGTGTGATTTAACTATATGACTGCATTAATTAATGGTCTTTATGCTCAAATATTTCTCAGCTGGTTAATTCCACCCTTAAGCATTGAGAAGAGATGTATTTTTCCTGCAGTGTCATATTATTTATAGGTCACTTATGAGAGGGTTGCTATATTACCACAGCTGTTCTCTGAGAAACTGATTTGTTCAACTGCAATATAATGAAATGGTGCATATTAAAGTTGCAGTAAGCGATTTCGGAGAAACACTGTTGATATTTGAAATCAACCCAAACAAACACACGATTCTCTGCTTTGCTCCGCCCCCAAAATGCACAAAACACGTAATGCAAGAGGGAATGTCTCTTTATCAAAGCTGAAGCAAAGAAAAATATTGCTTTGCGAATATATATATATATATATATATATACATACTGTATATATATATATATATATATATATATATATATATATGATGACAAATGCATAACGAGAACAAAAATTAACATACAGTACACATTCAAGCAAGAGTTGGTTGTTAGTCGCCATTAGCACTCAAAACTGTCCTGTTACTATAGCTAGCATTACAACTAGCATATCTTGATTCTGTTAAACAGCAAAAGCAACGTTACTCACATATGGAGCAAAACTACATAACCTCAGCATCCGTTATCAGGCCTGGTCCCTCCAGCGCTTATATTAGCATGGATCCTAAAGCTCTTGTTTGATCAAAACTACTTTTCCCAGTGATATTCCTCTGACCTTTCCTTTTCTCTTTTGCAATGTCTTTCAGCCTCAGGCATCTTTCATTCTACAGTTTTTCTTCACATCTAACTCTTGCTCACTTTCTCTCCTCCCCCATCATGAGAGGACACGCCCCCTACTGCTGATTGGCTACAAGCGTGTTGTCATGCTCAGTTTACTGCATCTTTACGTGCTTTAAGAAGGAAAGAGAAAGGCTTGTAATAGTGATAGACTGATTAAATGGCTGATCGTTCAGCATTTAGGGAGACTTAAAGAGAAGATGTTGTTCATCTGCAACAGTTCGAAACAGCCTCGTCAATGAATAGTAATCAATTCGGTTTTGGTTAACTCTTTTGCTGACGGAATTTTTCCATAATTTATGAGACGGCACTTTCCGGCCATTGACAAAATTTTCCAGCTTTCTATGTTTTCACTGTTATACCTAGGGGGCGCTATTACACAACTTCTAAAAGAGTACCGAATCGCCGAACCAAAACTCATTGCTTTAAAATGCACATTGTTTGTGATTTTCTATGCTTGTGATTTAAAAAAACAACAACAAAAAAACGACATAATTTGGGCTCAGGTTTTTGTATTTCTACTGACATTCCTTATTGCGTGGCTAAATTGTCGTTAGACTCGAATAACAACAACAGAGAACCCCTGAGCAAACCCAACCTTTCCTCTTTCATGACAACTAATGATGTCTATTCATGTACCGATTGTCATTGTGTTCAGTCTTCGGCATGTTTACTCTTTTCTTGTTTCAAATCATCAAGTTAAAAATAGACCAAGCTCTAGATTGTAAGTGTCTAAAAGAAGGGGCTCACAGCCAGGCTGACTGAATGCAGGCCTACACAGAAAATCACTTACACAGAAACAATATCATATTAACATTTTTATCTTGTTCTAATCCAATTTCCTATAGTACTTTGATGAATATGAAGTCAAATGTATTAATGTCACTTTTTAACCAATTGAATGCATCTGGAATATAACATTTCCACAAACTTTTATAGGCTAGTGTACAGGCCTATATACCAAATATAATTTCTTATGATTCAGTCATGTTCTTGAGAGGGCTCATGGGAGTCAACCAAACAAAATCTTCTTTTAGTCTCACATCATTTATAGCACACACACACACAAAACCCATTTCCAAACAACCAGCAAGATTACATTTGGAGCAAAAGAAAACATGCACATGCTCGTTTAGCGTTTCCAGTCGCGTGTGAATTATGAGACAGAAATGGTGCTAATATCAGTGCTTGGCAGAGAAAAGCTCTGCAACAAAGAGCCCTTTGGCACAATGTGAGCTCATTGTTTTTCCTCTGAACTGAACTCTAATGGTGAGGAGGACCCAATATGTGTGTGAGCATGTGCAGCAACAGAAGGACATGCTCTTATCTTTAATCATTCCTGTGCTTTTTACTCATGTCTCCAGCCCTGTGCTGTTACCATGGAGATGGCAGAGGAGTGCTAAATCCCTACTGGTTACTGTCTTTCTGCTATTAAATAGAATATCAGCCATTCTAGACATCAAAACACTTAATCTTTTCTCACATGACCAAAAGTCAAAAACCACACTGAAATTTCATTTTTCATCATCTATTTAAAATTTTATTTTAATGAAAAATATTGTCTAATATTTATTGCAACGTCTTATTGTTTATAGTGTGTGGATTTTCCTAGTTTATTTTTATGTTTCGTGTTTTCCCTCTTTTGTGAACTTGTATTTCAAACTAAACATTGATTATGTGCAACTAGGTTTTTGATTTTTTTTTAAATGTTTTGCATTTTAAATTGACTTATAATTAAAGGGTATAGGATTTTATGCATCATACACAAGGGATATTTTATTAGAAAATGACTGGATGTGAAGATTTTTAAAGGAATATAAGTAAAGGTTGAGAACTAATGTTGTCACTGACATCAAACCTGATGAACATCTAATGATTTGAGAGCTTGAAATGAATAAATTCAATTTCAATCTGGTTGATTAAACAATGCTGATTGGCTTCAGAAAACATTGATTAAAGCACACGGATCAGATGGACCACTTTTAGGATGCTTTTATGGTACTTTTTCTGTCAGTTTGGAGCTCAATAGCATCCACATTCAAGTGCAATCAGGACATTTTTCAAAAACGGTGGAAATAAGAAATGCTGAGATGAATCAGTATCAGTTGTTGACGTGAGACAGAACACTGGAGAGAGTCAAGAGCCCTACAGTTACACATAAGAGGACGCTTCATTTCCAGCTGCTCTGACTACCAGAAACACGACTTGTCATGTAGATCATGTACTAAAACCAGCACTGATTACTAATACCTCACTTTATAAATAAGAGTGCAATTGCTAATATTAATTGTTTCAAAGAAACCCATATTTGACAGGATGCTTCATGTGACCTATAAACATGGTAAATACTAAATAGCAAAAATAAATAAATAAAAAATAGAACTACATACAGTACACTATTCCATTATGTTTTTAAAAAAGTTTCTCATGCTCAAGGCTGCAGTTATTTCATTAGAAAATACAGAAAAAAAGTAATAATTGTACAAATAAAATAATAATATAACAATAATAATTTATCCCTTTGATGGCAAAGCTGAATTTTTAGTTTCTAGTGTTTCATGATCTTTTAGAAATCATTATAATATGCTCAAGAAACATTTCATATTATCAATGTTGAAAACAGTAGCTGCTTAATTTATTGGTGGAAACCAGAATAATTTTTCTTTGATCAATGGATTGTTCAAGAACAGCATTTGAAATGGAAATCTTTTGAAATATTATAAAAATGGTATAATAAAATAATTTAAATCCTTTTAAATTGTGCTTTTCAGTTACTTTTTACCCCATTGAATGTATCCCAGCTGTATTAAAGTTTTAATTTCAGAAAAAATATCTATCTATCTATCTATCTATCTATCTATCTATCTATCTATCTATCTATCTATCTATCTATCTATCTATCTATCTATCTATCTTTTACAGGTCCCAAAAGCAAGAATGGTAGTGTAAATTTAACTGTTTTCCTCATCAACACGCTTGATGTGTTTTCAACAACAAGTCAAGTCATTTGATGTTCTCATAGGCTTTCATAACAGAGGTCGTGCCGAACTGAAATGGGTCACACAGCACTGGTTTGCACAGCGGTGTTCAGATTGTTCCGAGCAGCTCAATCCATTGAGCCACACAAGAATACACATGCTCGAGGTGCTCACATCACGCTCTGCACTGTCCGTTCTGTTTGGGTTAATCGATTTGCACTGATTTGCACTTTTGCCGTTTCCCCATACACAACAGGACATGATTAAAAAAAAAAAAAAAAACTATTATAAAACCAACAAGAAAATCATACAATGCAGATATGAGGCTGGATGTTTACAAGCATTCCAGGTGTGTGTCTGTGTAAACAGCAACAGCAGAAATCAAGTGCTAATACATTGTTGTTATGGATCTGCACAGGCTTCATCAAGTGTGTGGGCAGATCCAGAATAATGAGCCAGACTCCAAGGTTGCCATGAGTGCACAGACAATATAATGAGATGACAAATGCATGCCTGGTGCTTGAATGTAATTTGGCAGGGACGATTAGAGGAGAAAACAGCATGGTGAAGTTTGAGGTATATACAAATCACTCAGTGTGCTCAAATAATGCACCCCTCCACCATCTCAGTGAGCGCATGTTAACATAAGCCTCTGATAACACTGTCAAGCTTTTAAAAGAAGACTGCAGGGTACAGTGAACATGGCAGCCGTCTCTGTGGCTTCTGTCTGCTCCTATCAGCATGTGAGGCATCTTCCTGACCTCAGGCTACACTGAATTAGGTAAAGTTAGGCATCCTGCCCCATTTAGTCTCAGTCTTGTGGCATATATGATCCATAGAAACGGGAGGAACTGCTAGATATAACCATGGGTAAAAATGTTGCCAGTGTTTACTGCAATACTCCATCTGTCATATTGGGGAAAAAGCTTCTTATAAGTCACTTCACAACCACCCACTTAGACTGGAAGAGACCGTCTGACCAACATGTAGGCCTGGTTGCACAGATAGGGCTTATATTAAGCCAGGATTAGGCCTTAGTTCAATTCG